CAATTAAAGATTTTTTATTTTTGAAAAAATCTTGTTGGTCTAATAAAAGATATCACCTCTACTATGAGCCCAGATGGATCTATACTGGTGTTCCTCAGTAAATCCAAAGTCACTTCGCAGGACCAACATTTTTGTCAGGAGAACAGTCTGCCTCCATCTGCATGTAAGATCTCTGCAGGATACTGGCTTGCACAGTCCAGAGCTGAAACATATTTGGCCCTCTTGGAGGATTTTGTTCATCCATGGTCAGTCTTCCTCAGGTCACAGCATGGTGCAGCAGCAGCATGCCTCTGGCTGCTTAGAAGACAGTGCCAAAATCTTCTTGCTTCCCTGACTAGCCCCGGACTGGCACCTGTACTGACCCTACATCACAGGCTCAGCCTGATTTGCTCCTTTTCTCCCTTCCCCACCACCCAATGCTTCAAGACTGCAGGGCTTCCCGCCCTTTTCTCAGCTTGTCAGTAAGTTGTTTTTTTCCTGCAGCAGAGCCTATTTTTCACAGAAAACACCTGATTTCAATAAGTTTCTATTTATGCCTGCCGAGAATCAAACTTCAGATCTTCCCCAGACCAATTTGTTGCCATTGCAGAGAAATCAAAGAATGCAGCAGTGTCAGAGAATAACTGGATCTCTGACTGCATCAAGGTGTGCTGAGACTGTAAAACATGAACACCAGACTTCAGGCCATAACTTTATCCCTCTCCAGAATTTCTCCATTCCAGGCATCTGTAGGACTTCTACCTGGAGCTCTGTTTACACATTCACAAAACCTGTGCTACTCCTGAAGCTTCCAGATTAGACTCTACATTTTGGAAAGTGATCCTGCAGTCAGCTATTTCCTTTTGATTCCAAGCTTCGGCATCTGTTTAGACTGGATGCTGATTTGAGACACCCGCAGTAAAATGTACATATGGACAAATCACTTGGAAAAAAAAGTTATTTACTTAAAGTAACCGGAATTCTTCCAGACCTGTTGTCCATATGCATGATGCATCCTGCCCTCCATCTCTCTTCCTCCGAGCCCCCAGACATTCTGGGATTGTGTTGCTGAAAGACGAGTGAGAAGTTGGAGGTATGCCCCAAACTTTATGCCTCCGGTATAGAACCTGAGAGGGAAAGGGCAGGGTACCGGCTAGGGCATGAAGTCACAAATCTTAAGTGCAGGAGGTGCATCTGCACCCACCATGGCACGTGCATGTGGATGACATAATGAAAGACTCCAGTTATGTGATTTCTCTTGGAGAATACAAAGAGAATCTTCACTCCAAAAGGATTTTTCAAGAAATTCTTCACCCCAAAGGGGTTGGCAATGATGACTAGCTATGTAGGAGTGATTAATTATCAGTAGTTAGCCCTTTTCAACTTTTCGTGATGCATACTTTCCATGATGCATTGAGACATAGTAAAGGATGCTTTTGACAGTTAAGTCAAGTAAGAAAAATACAGTATAAAAATTCCAAGTGTAAATTGTGGGAATTCCTTGCCTCTCACATAATTTCTGGACCATTGTTGGTACAACATCACTCTTACACTACTGTAACAAATACTCTTAATGTTTGTAGTTATGTAAAATTACATGATTATGATGGAGAAAAATGAGCAAAGATTTTTTGCTATGATTGTACTTATCTGTACCCATCAACAAAATAGAAAATAATTCTACTATAAGGAATGGTTGATTGCCTGTGTCTTGTTGACAATAGAAAATCTTGAGTATCTAATGCCTCGTAAGCATCAGCTGACTTGACAGGGCATGGGTCAGTATCTTTACACATAGCTACTTATCAGGAAGTGAATTCCATTGTGATACAGTATGCATGTATATTTGGAAATAATGAATTATACTTAATAGATGACGAATTAGCCAAAGCATTTTGCATGGAAACCAATAGGACCCTGGCAAATACTTGGTGCATGACTAACAACACCACAGTGATGAGTTATCCCACTGACTAATAAACTGGATTTCACTATATGTGAATATAAACTATTTTGCCAAATATTGATTAAAAAACATTTTTTCCTGGAACTTTATCATCTGCAATAGTTTAATATGCTCTAAACTGAAAGATTATTACAATGCATACACACAGGCAAGTAGAGTTAAGGAGGCACGATGTTAAGTACCCACCATAATTGCTGTTGTGTAAAGCAAAGAGCTGTCTTCGCTGAGGAGCTTAGTCTATTAATACTGCAGACTTAATATTAATTTAATAATAATAAATAATTTATATCAATATGCATGCTGGTATAGTATTAGGAGATGGATTTTCTTCATATTTGGCCTTGGAATTTTTTTTATAGCAACTGCAAGTTGGTAAATCATTTTTCACCACAGAGATTACATGGTTCATCTAGCTGCTGTGCATATGTCCCTGACACAGGTATTGTGTTGCCATGAGGCTTTGAACAATGGACAATAGCCACTGTCTTCCCCACTGGAGAAGCAGAAGAATGTTTCTACACACAGCATGATGCCACTGTCTCAGCCTGCTGTTGGATTGGTGAACTAATGAATAGATTACTACCTAAACAATTAATCTCAAACCCAACCCTAGCAAAACTCAAATCTGTGCTTTTCATCTGAGAAACCTGGATGTGGAACAACACTTGAATGTCACCTGGGGTGGCCAGAGTCTGGAACGTCAGAAACACCTGGTTTACTAAGGGGTAACATTGGACTGTACACTTGGTTACAAAAAGTACATATTAAATACCAAAGCCAAGCCACATGAAACGATATTCTGTGTAAGCTTGCAGATTCCAAGTAGGGAGCACATCCATCCACCCTACACACTACTGCCTTAGCACTTTTGTTTCAGTGTGGCTGAATATGCCTGCATGACTTCAGGGTGGTAAGTCACAGTAAATATATCAACACCAACTCAAATGATGCATGCAGAATTATAACAGGCTGCCTAAAACCCACCCCTGTTCCCTGCCTATATACTGTATCTCAGGAGGAAAGTAGCAGGTGATGTTGAGCAGCAAGTACAAGAATCAGATGACTGCCATCTGCTATATGGATATCAACCAATGCCCAATCATTTCTCATTGAGAAATAGCCTTTTTTTGTCCTCTACCATACCATTGACCACATCACCAGAATCAGTCAGAACTACCCTCTGGCAAAATGAATGGGAGAAATTAGGTGACAAAGCTGCTAAATGCAGCTGGCAAGGAATTACCCCCAGTGAGGAGTTAGCATTTAGTTCCAATTACAAATGGCACACTCGGCAGAGCCTGAATGAATTGAGAGCGAGTCTTGGCAACTTTCTCATGAAATCATGGGGCCTCTACACAACCAACCAACATTTTGTCAGAAGCAAACCATGGATCATCACCTGAAATGCCCTGTAGCGCCACAATGCACCCCACAAGATTTGGCAACACAAACACCAGAAGCAGTGGCCTGTGCAGAATATTGGGAGCAGACCATATAGAAAGGGTAGACTGGATGCACAACAAACAAGACGACTAATGAATCCACCACTGAGAGGTCCACAGATACATGCCATTTCAAATACAGCAGCTTCCATAGATGCACTTATAAAAATATAGGCCCTCTCCTTAATTTACATTTATCACAATGTTATTACTGCCTTCTACAGACTTCATTCAAAACTTTTTAATCAAATTTCTGTGAAGACTTATACTTGCCCTGCACATGTGTAATAAGAGGATAAAAATTCAGAGCAATGATTCTCAACTGAAGCACTGAGGCACCCTGGGGTGCTGTAAGGTTGAGGGTGCCATAAAATACTAGCATTGTTAGCTGTGGAAATACCTATGCATGGTTCACTAGATTAAACCCAGACATTTCAAATAGAAATCCATGGTTTCAAAGATACTCTGACCTGTTGTGGTGTTTCTGTGGTCTCTGCAACAGAAAAATTGCTCTACTATTTTCCCATAGCCAAAAAACAAGAGAAGCTAAAAGCCAGCCTTTTCTGAGGGTGCTTCAGATCTAACAAGGGGTACTTTGAGTCTTAATGAAGGGTCTAATAAGGTTAAGAACAATTGATTTAGAGCCATATTTTATCCCATATATTATGTGGAATCTGTTTCTAAGTATGACCCTACTTAGGTCCATGGCAAACTGTTAATGAATTTCCTTATGTGACACCCTTTCATTTTAGCCCTATAGGTAAGTTGCAATAAGTAGCAAGAAGGACCATGCACCCACCTTTAGCTTTAAACAGCTGTCAAGGACTGAAGCAATAGGATTGCATTACAATGTCTATTAAATGGTAGAGGATCCAGGCCTTAGAGTTCAAAGTGCACTTTTGATAGTTCTGACTAAAAACAACTGTATTTGTCTACCAGTCACAGCTGCTTACAGTACAGCACAGTCTCTGCTGCTGAGCAGATGCTCGCATAAGTGTTTCCCTTGATTTCAATGAAAATATTCGTTTACGTAACTGCAAACCAATGAGTGAATCACAGCCTCTTACCTTAATGACTAAAATGTTTCATTACTGTTGGTACTGCAGAACCAATCTAAGAATGAATGATCTTCCATCTTGATCCTGTGTCCTTATCAGCTGCCTGCGAGTTGTTGAACTGCTACTAATGTTCTGAGTAAAAAGGAACATTGGGCAAGCACTGAGGTAATATTATAATTCTACCATGATGGACATGTACACTACATAGAAACAATTCATAGACACGACACAGTATTTGTGCATACTAAATATTTTAGTGAACATAATAAACCAGTGAGTCTAACTTGGTAGCTGCTGGTCCCAAAAGCCCCAATTCTGCAAATGCACTTTTAAAGCACGCAAGTCGTCAGAATGAAGCAAATGGGATTACCTGAAGCTAACCACAGGATTATCTCAAATTAACTACCTTCAGGAGCCATGGGGTGCCTGAAGCTAACCGCAGGAATATCACTTGGAAGATCAGGACACTCACTACTTTTAATCTTGAAAGACGTTCAGATATGATAATGACAACCAAACCAGAATAGGTAAGTGCAGATTTCAAAACGCTGCAAGTGTATTGCAAAATGTACAGCATTTATTCACATACAGACAAAAAGGCACAATTCTACTAAATATTTTAACAAAAAATACAGCTGTCTTCAACTAGGTTTTTATAAATACTTCAAAAAAGGGGGAAAATAAATACAGGATTGGGCCATGTAATATAAAATAGTCATCTCTACATATACTTTTTAATTTCTGATTCTATCTGTTTCTCTTCATGCACCTTTTTATTTTAGCTGAATGGACACCAAAGCTAGGCACATAGTGAAAAATCCTCTGTACAAGGTTTTACAAATGTAATGACATTTTTTTTCAAATTTTTAAAATAATTAATATTTGTACACATGACACGTATAACCCTTCATTTAGATTTGTGTGTTTATAACCTAACAAATGGCATTCCAGGCAACTTTACAAAAGTTTAACTAGCCTACATTTTGACGTAAAACACCAATTATTATCAAACAGATTTCTTGGTCAATCTGCACAAGGAAAGGTAAAGCTTAAAAAAAATATTAGCAAATGTTCCATACCAATAAAACACAAGGGATGGGTCTGAGTTGTCACTGCTGTACTTATGACTCCTTTCCTGCTGAGCACTAAGCATGGCATGAAACTTATACTTCTGTTCATACAGCAATTATCTTACCTTATAGCATTTTGCAATTAGGGGGATGGGAAAAAGCGCTTTTTTTGTTTTGTTTTGTTTTTGGTTCAGCATATCTTGGAACATTAGAAAGCTTATTAACCTAAATGTGTGGGGAACAAAACAGATAAGGCATTTTTTTTTTCTGCACAACGCTAGCATTCATAATAGTGCAAATGAATTGGGTACCTCTTTCAAAATGGTGTGAGGTTAAATGTTTACTTAGAATCAAATTTACTTTATTCTTTCTATGGCTTGACAAACAATTCCCTACATCACAAGCTCTTTACAGTAACTAACTTAGCCCTCATCTGGAAATGGTGCTGTACTTGAAAGTGAAATCAACGGTGGAAATCAACTTCCCTCTTTTCCTTATGACCAGGAAAAAGCCTATGCTTTTTAATCAAATGAACTCTTATGATTTTTACTCACCCCGAGATTGAATACGTGTGTGACTTAGGTTCACTGTTACCTATTTGATATATGCAATGGTGAGTTAATCCACCCAAAATGAAGAGGATAATCTGGTTTCTCAGAAGCAGCAAGTTTTAACAAAATACCTCTCCACCATACCAACATCTCCCCTTCCCAGGACTATCTTATTGTCAAAAGGTTAAGACTTACTTTAGGTTTAAAAAGTAAAAGGGGTAACAGGGGATAAATTCTGTTGATGTGTTTAATTATTTGATACTTGCATAGCAAGACAGGACATCAATCCTTTTTGTGTCGAATCTTCTGGAAGACTTGAACTTAATGGCAGAGTTCTAATATTCCTTTATTTAAAATATCAAAATTCTTCCCCACCTAAGTGGAAAGGGGTTAACATTAAAATGCATTATGTAAAGGAATACTGATAGCAATAGGTTTGGGAGGAAAATGGGTGTTCTTCCATATGCCCATATTTCTGTAACACATTGCTACTGCTTAAACTTCCTTTTATCTTGTTCATGCCTGACTTGCATCTATACGGAATTCCAAAAATCACAGGCTCCTATAACTAACCATTGTTATAATACATATGCACTCTACTCAATGCAAGAACAAAACAGTCTCTTCAAGAACTGTTAATGTTATTATTGCTGATAGCTTACTCACTAGTTATTGCCATTTGCAACTATTCTTTTAAAAAAAGGTACGTAATCAGAACGTGAGCTCCCTCTTCCATCAAATCTAATCCAGAATAGAATGAAATTATTTTATTTTCTTGGTTGAATGTAAAGAGCTAATCACAAATGTATTGCCTTTTCATTTTATTCTATTTAAAAATATATATTCCTATGTCCATTTTTAAAGTAACCTTTAGTGTCAGAAGCCTGGATTTCCCAATACAAACCATTAGTGCATAAGTGGTTCTTTGGGAAATCCTGCTGACTAGTGCCTTAAAATTATCATTCCCACTTGAATTGTCATGATTTCAGGACACGTGATTAACGCTAAAGCTGCTTCGTGGATTGTTCCACAAGGTACATGAGGCCATAAACCTGTCCCTCTTCTCAGAACCGGATAAACTACTTTCAGGATGAAATCAGAACTGAAACAGAAACTACACCAGATCAGAAAAGCTTAGAAGTTTTCTCCAGGCTCAATCTGAGTATTCTCATACTGTTACGTTGCATCAGCAGGCAGCTACAGCTCTCAACTGTCCCTTCGTTCTTCTCCAGTACTCATGGTTAAAACTGACTACTTGCTGCATGTACTTACATGTGAACTCACTGGAGTTTTGGAAGGCTTAGAGCTGCCATATACACTCAATACAACAAAAACATTCTGCAAACAAATAGGATTTAAAGACTTATCACAGTCCAAGAAAAGTGACTATTTGTAATGGGTTTAGCAGTGCAGAATGGTTAAATAACCATATATGATTTAGGACACACTAGTTAAATTAAAAGCTTGTGCTTTTTTGGGAGGCAGGGAAGAGAAACAAAATCTTATCAGTGCTGTTCAGCTAAATAGGGACAGATGGAAACTACCCCCTTCCAAAGTGTTTAGTGAAATCTTTTAGTGTTCCATCACAGGCTCTATTTTAGTAGTGACGTCGTTTTCTCTGCTTCCTCAAGAAAATTACAAATAAGGTTCAAATTTCTCACAGAAATGGATGTGGAGAAGGGGACGAGACCAGTTTTAAGTGCATGTAAACAAATTTATACAGCTCAGGAATAACAGGTTATCAAATCGTCAGTCTGCAGTCATCTCTAAGAATTCCCCCTTCGTCCTTACGCCAATAAATAATGTGGAGTTGGCTTGCAGGCAGTGACTCTACTGACCATGACGCTGACAATGTTTCTTACTGTCCAGTCAGGAGGCCAGGATGCTTCTCCTAATAATGTCTGTCCTCCTGCTGATAGTGCTGTTTGGACTAAGTCTTTGCTGTCTGCACTTTTTCTCAGCCACTTCAGTTTCTGAGTCACTCATTTCAGCATCAGGGACATACCCATCATTCTCGCTGTCCGTCTTTAGTTTGGTTTTCGCCCTGTCCTTAGGCGAAACTCTGCCCATGCCCAAGTACGGATAGTTAGAGTTCTGGCGGCAGGTCTCCTCCTGGATCTCTCCCTGCTGTTGTCTCTCCCCCTTCTTTGGAATTCGGAATCCGCCCCAGTTTTTCACCGGGCTCGTGGGCGTAGTAGGCACTTTAACTACAGTCTGGTTATAGTTTATTTTGATGAGGGATCCATTGCATTTAGGCACTATATCCCTCCGCGGGCCGGGTGCAGACCTACCACTGGCGTGGTTCACAGACCGTTTGTTTTCTGTCTGTCTCTGAGACAGTTCCGTGAGTCTCAGTGGCTTGTGGTTGTGTTTCGAAGGCTTTTCCTTCAGTTCCTCCTTTAGTACCTCGCAATGGGAACGACTGTCTCTTCTTTTCCTGTGGTCTGGCATAACTATCCCATTTTTCTGTTGTGCTGATACAATTCGTGCTTCTGTAAAGGTCTTTTCAAAATTTAAAAAGCTACCTGGATTGGAAACACCTTCCCTTTGGCTGGGGTGCTTGAGCAGGGATTTGCTGTCACTCCCAGAGCTATTCCTTATTCGGTCTCTCTTATGTGACTTTTTCAATGACTGACTCAGAGAAGTGCCCATTCGCTTCCTGAAGAAAGCAGAGTGCCATTTCAAATCTTCTATCTTGGGAGCATCAGGACCCAAAGGTGGACTGTTGAACAAAACCATGTTTTCCACTCGGGAGGAAGAGGAAGGCACACCTAAAATAACACAAAAATTACTTCAATTTAACCAAAACAAGTTATTACTCTCTGATAAACTTTGAGTTTGACATCCTTTATATCCTCTTGACTTTTACTCTTCCTGAGACTTATTCTGCAGTCTGACCAGAATTTGGTTCCAAAATCTATTCAATGTGGCATGGTATATTCGGTGTTTTTGTTCAACATACAGCAAGTGATACCAATCAAGCTTCAGTAATCCTTCTATCGTTCTACTTCTAGTCAGTTGCAATTTCCACACTATCCACAAACACATGAACTAAGACAGGGGTGGCCAACCTGCAGCACAGGTGCCACAAGTGACATGGGCAGCCTCTATGTGTGGCACACAGCAGATCAGGGAGGAGATAGGCAGCACAGCAGCATATGGTAGGGAGCAGAAAGCAGAGTAGCTTTTGGGCAGGGGAAGGGATGGGAGTGGCACTGGGGGAGGTGTCGGGTAAATTTGTGGCATGCCTGCCAAAAAGGTTGGTCTCCATTGAACTAAGATATTAAACTCCTTAGGAAAAAACCTAGATGGGGAAAAAAACTAACAAAGAATTTATGTTTTATTGTCCCAATTGATTATGACAGTACAATCTCTTCATCTGACTAATGCCTAATTCCTTTAACAATAATAGAATTCACCTATTCAATGCAATTTTTTTTCTGGCATGAGAAGGGACAATGGTCAGTGAGGCATAAGTGAATAGGAATAGCTGTGATTTTTAAAAATCACTTTGTGGCACTTTTCTTCATGCCACTTCAGACCACTCTGTGGCTTACAGACTGATTCAGTTCCAGGCTGTACCTATGAACTACATTAGAAGTAATGGGAACTTGCCTTTCCCTTGGCAACTCACAGCAGCATCCTTAGGTCCAACTCCCAAGTCCCTTCTGATGATATTTTACAAAAAGTTTAACAGGGAAGAGAAAAGGTTTCTGACAAGCTAGTGCAGGGTACTGGAATGCAATTTTCCTCTTACTACAGATAATAAAATGTCAAGTTATAAAAAATATGAATACAAATCCATACAGAACGTTGTTACACTAACAAAACATGATATGCAGAGAGCTAGAATTTTACTTTTGTGATCTAAGCCAAAGAATTTGGGAAATAATCCATAATCACTAAAGGGTAAACAACAAATAAAATTAAATGAAAATCTGTTTAAGAACTGTGGTGGGTTTTTTTGAACAAATAGCTCATTTTCTTCTTAACTTCTTTAAAGGGGCCTCATCCACTTGAAATCTACTCAATTTAAAAAGAAATAGGAATTTAAAGCATATGAAGTATTACACCCATGGCTGTGTCCGTACTGACTTTATTTGCTGTTTTGGCAGCATATTTTCTTTGTATTTTTTTAAACGTCTTCTCTCCCGTTGTAAAAAAGACCAACATAAACACATCAAAATGAATAAACTGCCTGTGTAGGGAAACAATGAGTCTGATGATGAAAAAAGCAATGTTGGAGGGACTAAATAAAAAACTAGATAAAATTAAGTCCCTGGGTTACAATGATTTAGTCAAACATTTCTCAACCGTTTTCACCCCACCGCACACTTACCTAAATAAAAAAGCACTGCGGTACAGCGGATGCAGAGTGGGGGGAGAAGAGGTGGTGCCACGCAGCCAGCCAGACACCGACCGGGGGGTGGAGGGGTGGGGTGCTGCACAGTCAGTCGGACACTGACGGGGAGGGGTGGTGCACAACCAGCCAGATGGCATTTTGGGCTGCAGCCATGCCTCCCTGCCTGGCTAGAGCCACACTACCTGTCTGTCTGTGTTCTCAGCAGCAACAAGCGGGGGGGGTGGCTCCATCCCAAAACCAGCAGCACACCTGGACGTGCCTGATGGCACACAAGTGTGCCACGGCACACCGGTCAGGAAACGCTGATTTAGTCAAATGGTTTCACAAAAGATCATGATCATTAACAGCAATAGTACATAGTTTTTAAATACTCCTAAACCAATGAGCTTCACACTGGACACTTGTAGGCCCAAAGAAGAGATTCTCCTTGTCAACTGAGTCCTTGACCTTCTTTTGACAGATGCGCCTATACCAGTGTAGGGTGTAATGACACCTGTGCACTACACCATGGGCCAAGGCCTAAGAGCTGTTATTAGTAATAAGTATTTGTAGTGCCAAGGCATCTACCAAACTTGTTTGGACTTCACCGTGTTGGGCACTATACTGACATAATGAGTAATAGTCCCTACCATTAAGCATGGAAAACATATTCATCATACCAATTTCAAAGAATTAGAAAGTAAGTTAAGGAGGAACAATTTTTCAACCCATTCTTTGCTTAGAGCCATGCCATCCCTCATAGCTGATTAGTCCAGGCCCACTTCGCTATCTGTGTCTACAGCAATTCTAATGTGACCTTCTTTAAGAGTGTTGCCACCGGAATTTACATCTGAAGCTTTAGAACAGGGGCATCAAACTCACCCATGCCCTGGGCTGGAACAGGACCCTGGGGCTCCTTATAAGCTGAATCCACAGGGCAAACTGCAACCATAGCAACAGCAGAACAAGCGGCAGTTGCAGTGGAGCCAGCAACTGAGGCAGCAGAGGAAAGGGCTGCAGGTCAAGCAGCTGCTTGTCACAGCATTTGTGGTGCAAGAAGCCACAAGGTAAGCTGGAGTGTGTTGGCACAGCCCTTGCTCACCTCCCTGCCACCAACAGTCATGTCCAATGGGGTCTGGGATTCAGCAGCAGTCTCACCTCTGCCAATGCCACCCGTACATATTCTGGCCTGCCAGTAGCCCAAGGGCAAGGTGGAGCAGCTCCACAGGCCATCTGGCCCATGCACCATATGTTTAACACCCCTGCTTTACAATATAATGGATTTTGGGTTCTTCTCCTGGTTTGAATGATCTTTGCCTCCAGTCTCCTGATGCAAAGGGGACTGCATAAGAATGTAAGACAAATAAGCCATTTCTCACTGCACTTCAGATTAGGCATTATATTCTGATTAAATCATCTGATGACTGTGCTTATTATTCTGTGCTAAGATGTAATAGTGAAACATACCTGACACTCTTTCATGCTCCACAAGCTTTGCGTAGAAATTGAATATCTGTTCTTGCACTTTGCAAACAGATCTTTTAATCTTTTCCCTTCGGGTCACCATGTAAGTCAGATTACGAACCTAGAAAACACAAATCATGCTATCATTGAGTTTTATAAAAGCTAAATTGTTATGTTATTCACATGAGTTGCAAGTAAAAAGAAATAATAATTAGTAAAATCCCATTTAAAAAAAGTTAAAGAGAAACAACCTGTGCATGCACAGGGATTTATTGTAAACACAAGACTGTTAACATTCTAACTATTTTTAATCAAACTTTTTAGATTCACAGTGTTAATAAACTTGGGTAAAGCCTAGCTGTCACAAAGGTACTTGGAAGCTTCAGTCATGAATCTGTAAGACCCAATCACTGGTAGAGTAATTTGTCAAAAACTTGGCAGGACTATGAAAAGCCCACAATAAGGTAATAGCGTAGCTATAAATACTCACATAATATATACAAAAAGCGAGAGAGACTGGAAATTCTCAGAAAAACCCAACTATAAATTGCTCCAAGCTGGCCTGAAGGATCAGAATGCAGGAACCAATTTGCTCCTTGTTCCCTGAGCCAGCAAGCTGTAGAGGCATTGTGTCGCTCAAGTGACCTCCCTAATGTTCAGGGAAGCACTGAAACATGCCTGCATAGAGGAAGGACATCAACATTAGGTCCTTGATGTTGTGGGGTACAAATAAAGTGAAAAGTGAGAGTTTGTTGAGGACCATCCCTCCAAACTCCTCTACTCAATTATTAAAATAAACTTGCAAATGATGCTTTACGGCTTGCAGGACCAAAATTTGGAGAACTAAGGTACTATATGTTGTCTTTCATGAGTCTTCCACGTGGGTCAATAGTCAATGCATTAGATTTGTGTATGCTACCCCATGACAGATGTAGCACAAAGATAAATATGATTCATCACAGATTTGGAAGGGACCTTCAGGAGTCATCTAGTCCAAACCCCTGCACAGATACACAGGTTCCCTCTTCCCAAACTATTCCAGGCAGATGATACCTATGCAGCCTCTTCTTAAAAACCTCCAAAGAAGATTCCACAAATTCCCAAAGCAGCTTGTTCCCCTACCATTCGGTTCTTAGTCAGAAAGATTTTCCTGAGAATTTATCTAAATCTGCTCTGCTGTAAATTTAAATTTGCTTTGGTAGTTCATGTCCTGCCCTCTATGGCAACAAAAAAAAAAAATTCCATCTTCTTTCAGACAGCCTTCATGTCTCCCCTTCTCTCTAAACTAAACACACCTGAATCTTTCAACCTTTCTTTATATAACTTCGCTGCTGGCCTCTAGATTCTCTCCAGTTTCTCTACATCCATCTTATTATGCCCAAAACTGGATACAATTATTTCAGGTAAGATCCAACCCACACTGAATGAAGTAGCACCGTCATGTCCCATCTCTTACCTACACTGGCTGTTATGCACCCAAAACCATATTTACTTTTTTCTGTGACATTATCACATTGCTCACGCAGATTGAGCTTTTGATACACCATAACCCTCAGATCTTTCCCAGCAGTTTTACTTTCCCTTATTCTCTATTTGTTTTACGTTCCAATGGGCAACTTTTTAAACTCGTCTTTGTTGAACTGCATTTTGCTCCCCACACTTCTGTTCCACAACGTATCAAGATTCTTTGACTCTTAACCCTGCTCGCAAAAGTGTTGGCAACTCCTTCCAATTCTGTGTTACCTGCTAATCTGACAGGCATACCATCCACTGTTGCATCCAAATGATTAGTAAAAGCTTGTTTGAAGTTGAACAAGAACAGAACCCTGTGAAACCTCACTCAAGGCCTCCTGCCTATCCAAACACTGATATATTGACAGGTATTCTGTTTGCAGTTATTCATGCAGTTGTTCGTCCATGCGTACTGGCAATCCTATCTAGCTCACATTCCTCCAGCTTACTCAAGAAAATGTTGTGTAACTGTATAATAAACTCTACTGAAATACAGGTATATTCTGTTAAAACTCATTCCTGTTACTCACTGGTTTGGTATGATTTGTTCGTAACAAATCCAGGCTAACTTCTAGCGATCACCTCTTCCTCTTCCAAGATTTTACAAACTGACTGTTTTGTATGAAATTCCATGTGACTGGGAGAAAAGTTCATTAGAAAACAACGTCTCCTATAACAAGGTTAGTTAATTTCCTGCATAATACTACTTTTAAAATGTTTTCTACTGTTGGGATTTTTTAAGGCACAGATTTGTCATAAACAGGGTTCGTTATAATGAGGTTGTACTGTAAACTGGCTCTAGGAATTTATCAGATATTCACATCAGGCTAACTGGTCTCCAAATCCTTGGGTCCTCCTTTTCTTCCGTTTTAAAAATGGACACAGTATTAGCCTTTCCCCAGTCTACTCAACTTTGCCTCTCATCTAAGATTTTGCAAACATTGGCAAGATTTCTTCAGTTAGTTCTACAATTCGCCTTGGGTTTGTTCACTTAAATTCATTCAAAGTTGTCAAAAGTTCTCTGAAGGCCACTATCTTTATGATTCCCAGCCCTTCCTTCCCCCTTCTATATTTTTATTAACATTTGCAGATGTCAGTAGTGAAGACTGATGCAAAATAGGCATTGAGCAGTTCCACCTTCTTTCATTAATGACTCACCTTTTCCACTAGGCAGCAAGCTCAAAGCACTCAGTGTCTCTGATTTAGCTTTCTACATATCTGTAGAACCAGGTCTTTGACGTCTAACATTTTTTATCTTTGCTTTCTCGATTTTGCTCCTACATATTTATGTTAATCCCTTATATTCATACTAAGGGCAAACCCTACCTTGCATTTCTTGTATGCATCTCTTTGGCTTTCTGGCTTACACATTGGCCTTTTACAGTTCTTTCTATCTTTCCATTGTGTTAAAGTGACTTGTTGGTAAGGCTCCAATTTCTGTCTCAATGGAACAGCCAGCCCTCCTTTTCCTTTGTCTATCTGTGGGAATTTACCTATTATTTTTCCAAGTCAACTGGAATCTGAACTTTTAAAGTCCACTGTCCGTTCTCTGCTAGGCTCAGGCCTTTCCTTAGGATAATTAATTCTATGTTTATGATTTCTTCCTCCCACATTTCCAAGCACCATCATATTTGCAAGCAGATCATCATCCCTACTGGGGATGCTGCAGGGATTAAAATTGTAACCAAATTATTTATTGTTCATCAGCCTCTGTATTGCTTGATTTTTTTTTTTTTTTTTTACA